TGAAGCTACAAATATCCACAATTGGCTTCCAAAATAAAGGTCGCCCTGAGCAGCACAAACTTGTCTCAGAAAATTCAGAAACCTCCTTAGTCCAGATAAGACTCCCAAACACCTTGCCAATGATAAACCAGATCATACCTACCCTAACAGGGCTGAGGTCATGTTTTGCTGCAGTTCTCTAATGCAAACTCTCATATCTCCCCCATTTCTTGCCTTATTTCAGGACTGCATTTTTAGCTTTGCAGAGCTGCTTAAACATGCCAGTGAAATACCTTTCTTCTAAATATATAGGATTATCCCACATAATGATGGAGGGTTAATCCTGTGTGTAATCTCTGAACTCCAAACATTTCCAATCCACAGTCTTGCCTGTTCATACTGCATGAATCTGAGTAATTGCCTTTTTCAGGGAGGGGGAAGAACTGTCTATATTGAACTTAATAGACAGAAGAGGCATGAACAAAATTGTGATTTGCCAAGCTAAAGAGCTCTAGCCATGTCACAATATCTGCTTTGTCAAATATATGATGATCCACCCTATTTTTGCAATCCTTGCTGTGAGTGGAAAAGGAGGTTTATCAAGCTACTGGTTATTATAATCAACGGAACTGAAAAGAAGCTCCCAAGGAATGTTGTGAACATTAGAAAATCAAAAACAAAGAAAACGACACATTAAAGAAACTGCAGTGTGCATTCTGTAAAACAAAAATCCTGTATAAATAAATAGGTGTATACAGAAATGCTTCTTTTTCCCACAAGTTTCAATTGCAATCTTAAAATGCAGCTTTCTGCTCCCTATAAGCATACTAAAAAGTAACACGTGTAATAATTTGTACACATATATAATAGTTTTTAGACCAGATTACAATGGAAAGGTTAAAACAAAGAAAACAAGTACCTGGCTGGCCAGGTGAGGAGAAGAAAATGGTGATATGCGTGCTGTGAATTGATTTGATTTCTACCGTTCATTTTAGAAGGAGAGGTAATAGCACCGTTACACAAACAACCACTATAATATATCAGTAACACATCAATAAAATCAATAGAATGATAGGAACAGAGCAAAAAGCTCTTCAGAGGATCCACTGTGATATGGTCTAGTAATTCTTAAATCCTCAACAGAATAGGTCTGATGTGGGCCAGGGCTAAAATGTCAGTAAGACTGGCATCAGGTGTATTTTTTAAAAGTTCGCGTTTCATATTTGGACATTTTCAAGTACAAGGTCTTGCCCTGGGTCCTACTGACAGTAAATTGCAGTTAGTTGATTACAGATTGTTGGAGTTAATTAATTTTACTAACCTTCCACCTTAAGCTGTATAACGTATTACTACATACCTCCATAAAGTATTGGGCCAAAAATTCTGATTCAGTTTGATGAAGGTAAGTTTGCTTTAGGAATTTGTTCAAAGGAGAACAAAATTCTCATGGGGTGAGAATGGTATTGTTGAAGTTAGCTAGCAATGAGGCAACCAAATGCCTGAGTGTGTGTGTGCACACACATATGCACATGTGTAAGCTCCGCCTTTTATAGCACTATCTCTTCTCTGTTGGTCTGCAGCCTCTCTAGCTTTCTATGTTCCACTTTAACTCAAGGAAAGACAGAGAGAACTTCTGCAACTGGACTTTTTCAATTGTAGTGTGACTGTTACTGCTAAAGGAAAATCCTGCCCTTGAGAATTTCTTGAAGAATTAGAAGTCATCTACCCAATTTTATGGAAAGTTTTAAAAGGCCACTTGTGTTCAGCTCTTCATTCACCTACTTTCTGATCACTGTTCTGAATCCCCATTTTTTTTTTTAAGGGAAGGAGTTTATAAGGAACAATCCCCCTCAGTTTGCAATAATGAAGTCCTTGAAAAATTTGGAAAGGTCAAGATCAGATGATGGTGATGATGATGATGATGACGATGACTGTCTAGGACTTATAAATATGGCCTGCAACTGTCGCTACTGTGCTAGCAGAAGAGGCTTGCTGTAAAACTGGCAGCTTGTGACATAGCATGCTAAAAGTTGAAATGCTGGCAAATGCATTCAAAGATGGCTTGCTGGGCACAAGTGAGGACATAATAGCGCAGAGTGCCACAATAAATTGGATGGGCTTGTCAAAGCCAGAGCAGACAAAAACGTTGCCATGGTGATTGGACTATCCAAATATACAGAGGCAGTGGCTGCTTGCCTTGCCATATGCTGGGCACAGGGCTTGGATACCTTTTTGAGCTTGGCTTGAGATAAACGCTCACCCTTGGATTATCAGGGAAAACGTTAAATGAACGTGCAGCATGAGACGCTATTTCCACTTATTCTTAAAGACAGTGGGAGGGAAGGAGAAAGATCCATGGAAAGGTAGAGTGACTGATTCCACTCTCTTCTGCATAATGGTCAGCCTTACTGATTTGATCGATTTGCAGTTACGTTCAAAGACAGATGCTTCCTTAGATTAAGGAGCTGATAGCCTACTTCCTAGGCTGAGTGAAATTCAAATGAAGTGTGTTGACTTGTGTGCCACTGGGGAATGGAGGTGTGTCACAACTTGGGATATTTGGAAAACAACCCTGCCGGGGTAGCAAGCATAGCCTTAAGAAGTTCAAAAACATTCAGAGGATGCTCTTAGCAGGAACAGGATGAAGAGGGAAATGAAGATGATAAATAAATACTCTTCCTGCCCCCACACACATAACATTGTTGGTGCACTCACATAGCCAGCTCCAAACATTTTGCTACCTGAAACAAACAATCTTATTGGATAAGTACTTGCATCTTTCTTCAACACTGATAATGGAGCTGCACGTTCTACCACAAGAGCCAGTTTGGTGTAGTGGTTAAGACACCAGGCTAAAAACTGGGAGACCATGAGTTCTAGTCCCACTTTAGACACAAAGCGAGCTGACTGACCTTGGGCCAGTCCCTCTCTCTCAGCCCTAGGAGGGAGGCAATGGCAAACCACTTTTGAAAATCTTCCTAAGAAAACTCAGGGACTAGTCCAGGCAATCACCAGGAGTCAGCACTGACTCGAAGACACAACAACAACAACAAAAGTTCTACCACACAGTGCAGGCTCCGTGTTGTCCATCCCTCTTCCCTCATGAAATGTTGCCACATGAGGTGAATATTTCATTTTGCCTAATAGTAGGGCTTGCTCTATGCACCTCATATGATGCTACAGACTATATTAATGAATTGTAATTGCCAAGTAAAACAACAGGATGGATTTGTCTTCTTCTCTGAAATTTAGGATGGAGAGAAGTTTTCTATGTGCAGAGAAAAGGAAATAAAAGAAGTCTCTCTGTTCCAATACCTCTGCTACATGTATCTTGAACTAAGATGTTTGGGATATACAGAACAAACAACAAAAATCCTGGCTGTACCCCTGCTAAATAGAACTGGACATGTGCCAAGAACAAGTCTTCCTGCATACCATTGTTCATAAGGAGACTTCCACATGCTTATGAAGATACGGGTGACACTAGAAAAGAGATGAGATAGCATAAGCCCATCTCATGTCTACCTGTTGTCCCTAACTGATACACAGAAAAATAAAGGTGAGAATAATAGTCGTCAGTTATGTCAAGTGAAGACAGATGCAATATTCCAAAACTGACTATGCTAAAATCCTTGACTGTACTGTAAATTGCAATGTGATACATATATATATGTCTATAAATGGTCACCCTACTGGCTTTGGTGGGAGCTTGCCTAACCGCCACCCCCACCCCTCAAAGCACAAATATTTTGAAAATAATGGCAAAAGTATACGTACTTGGGAAGGAAACTAGGCCAGTGGTTGATATCAGGAATAATAGTCAAAAGGCACCATTCTCTTCTGTTCAAACGGACCCAAACTGTATAGGGAGGTGAATGGATGAACCCACCAATCACCTCTTCTACTGTTAATGTTTCACTACCTTAATCCATAGAATAACAGATCTATAAATATCCATCCATTTCACAATTAAAGGTATTCAATCAGCTTTTAGAAGAGATAACTATAAATATTGAATTGAACATCAGGAATTCATTGAATTGAACATCAGCCTTGCTGCTGCACCCATACACTAGATTTCATCTCCATTTATTAAAAGCCTTAAGGTCACAGGTGTGTTTCAAAGAAATGAAATTTGTTTGCATCAGGGAGACAAGCATAACAAGAAAGCCTATCAGGAATCTCAGTTTGAAAGAAAACAATTAACATCTCTGTGGATAGAAACCTGGCTTGAAGGATTTAGTGACGAGGGCAGCAAGGGCAAAGAAAGTCATATTTAAGAGTAAGATGCAGTCTCTAGTGGGTCATTTGAATTTCATCTGCAGGGTAATTTCCACGCCATTTAGCCTTATCCATAGCAGGAGTAAAGAGGGCTAAACAGATTATTAAACTGACAAAGTCATACAAGGGATGGGGAGGGATTCAGCCATGTGGGCAAGAGGCATGATAAAATTCAATGATACGCTAGGATAGGTTAGTGACAAATTGGGGATTTTAAGTATTTACAAAACGATATGGTACCAGTGGAGAAAAGGGCAGTAATATATACATCTAGGATTTATGGTGTGTTGAAGATTTATCTTATAAACAGAAGACAGGATTTTTAAAAAAAAATAGCATGGAGTGGACTAAAATGGTTCTCAGTAATGGTTGGTGGTACAACTGTGTTCCTATATCTCATTTTGTTTGACATTTAAAGCATCACAGATTCCTTATCAGTCAACAGTGGATGCAGGAATGATGAAAGTCTTAGTCCCTTAATTGATGCTATTAATTGACTAATTGACCTAATATAGTTTAAATATATGGATTTTTAATCGGATTTTCAGCAAAGCTCTCCCTTGTGGATGGTGTGCCATGTTGATGACAAGCAAACCGTATACTTCTTTTGAAATAAGCAATGCATTAGAGGTAATTTTTTCAACAATTTATGTTATGCTATGTTAAAGCAAGGGAAATTGCCTTCATTCAGGACCCTTAAAGCATCACCTATGCTTTGATTGGTTTATTAATCTCTTACATGCATGACACACAATTTATTAAAAAACTCCAAAAATACACATCTTGGAAATTCAGTGTTTAAATTGATAGTTTGCACAGTACAATTATAGTTTAATTTTGTGTAACTACAAAATGTGTATAAAATGCAGCATGGGTAAATAAGAACATTAAAATTTAATTTTGTTATGAGATGTAAGCCTCTTGATTATATATGGTGAAGTGCTGGAAGAATAATGTAGAATTCTGCATATAGTTTCAACCACATACTGAATTTGGCAAATGAAGTTAACTTCATTTCACCAATCTGGATCTTCCTCCTAATTCAAGGGTAGGAAAACTTCAGCCCCATTCAGCCCCCAGAAACTTCAGCTTCTAGAATTCCCCAAGATCAGGCAGCTTAAATTTGGAAATAAATCACTGCATTTTCAGCAGCTTGATATTCCCCATTTGTTTTTTAAAAATAACGGCAAAAATGCATAAGGCACAAAATGCTTTCAAAAATAAGGGCAAAAAATAACGGCAAAAGGAGGCACATTAACCTGTGTTATGCTTAGTGCCTATGTTACCATTTTAACTTTCCTAGCCCCTCAACCAACCCAAAATGTACAAAAAGCAAGTCATATTTTCTGTAACCACCTCCTCTAGTGACATGAATACATTACTACGGCACTCTTGAAACCAAGCTAAACTAAAGTTAAAACAAACAAAAAACAAAACAAAATTAAGAAAGGCCACAATCCCTGACTGGAAAACAGTTTGCCACCCTGATCCTAATCTGTTGAAAGTTTTTCATGATACTGCTTCATATGGCTGCAGAGAGAATTTATGAAAGGTCTACATTTAAAAGGAGCATATATCACCTGGGTCTTTTCACTCCATTGACATGGGAACAGAACCATTCAAATACAAGTTGTAGATGAACACAATCATGGTTTCAGAAATGATCAGATCAGAATCTATTAGCATATTACTAGGACCACAAGTAATCCTCCAACGCTTCAGATACAACCTTCAGAGCTTTCCCAAAAATGCTATAATGTTTAATTCAACAGAAGGCAGAACATGTTAAAGCTGAATAACTTAAGTTTTTCTAATAAAAACAAAACAGTCAATCCTGCAAGTCTGAAGTCAATTTACCTTAGCTAATATCATGTGAATATCATGAGCTATCAAAGTCTAATTAACATTACCTGTTCTCCATAGACTCTTTTACATGCTTATAATATTCATAACATCGTGCATGACGCTGTTTCCTAATCTTGCCATTTCTATACGTGTTGACCTCAAACTTCAGCATTCCACAGCCAGCATGGCCATAGATAAGAATTCTGGGAGCTGAAATCTGCACACCTGAAAGTTGCCAAGGTTGGGAAAGACTGAGGATGAGCTCTTTGTCATTGTTCAAATGGCTGAGTTACCATCTGTTTTTTGGTAAAGTTCTTCTGCAAGAAAGGCACTGATAGACCTTTTTCCAGCACTGGAATGCAAGGTTGGGAAATGTATTTCCTATCTCATTTGTGTCTATGCTGCAAAAATTAGAGGCACAGGAAATCTACCAAACAAGAGGTGGCAACCCTAAATGAGATTTCCTTTATTTGGGTAGAAAGAAGTTAGAAGCAACAGGGAAGAAATATTGGGTGACAGCTTTTATGTGCGGTACAATAAGTAGCCACTAAATGTAGTTACAGGTGGATATTTTGCTGGGATAGAGCCCTTCACCAGCCTGAGCCAGACTTCCTGTCCATAGTTCAGTTCCAATAAAGCATCTCCAGTAACTACTCTAGTAACATATTTGTCATCACTTCCATTTTCAGATCGGAAAGCTAGCTTGTCTGTTCCATCGACCACCAGATAGCCTGAGATGAATGGGCTGCTTGATTCAATGTTATATTCAAAGACATATACTCCCAAGTAGGGTACACGGAACCTTCCACTTGCTGGGACATATGAGGTCCCATAGTTGACATCCAGATTGTTAAATCGAATAGGACCGGGTGTGTTCATCCCATAGGTGTGTGAAGCAAAAAAGGCGATCATTGGTGCATATCTGTAAGATCCCTTTGAAAAATCTGCAAAACAAACAAACAATCAGTAAATATGGTCAGAATGTAAAAACTGAGTAGAGCTTTTGAATGGAACTAGACACGATGGCAGACTTGAACCCCCAATTGCAAGGTCCAATATCAAAGAAAGAGGAGACCTTGAAGGTGCACTGAGGCTGCACTGAGGACAGTTGTTAAAGTTTTAGAACTCTTTAGATCATCCTTGATGTGATGCAATTC